CAAGAAAGATACTTCAAACAATAAGCAATGGCGCAGTAAATGGCAGGCATTTACTATGTGTCGTTTTAGCCCTGGTTAAAATGTAAACATGCAACATCACATGACTTTATGACGGCCAGATTACCAATAAAAGTATTTTATCACATGGACTAGCGTCACTTTGATCATAAAAAACTTGATAGTCAACATTAAAAGTTGTGGCTGCAATAAGTTTCACACATCTTTAGAACTCGAAAGTTTTTAACAAAACTCGTATTTTTGAGATCGCGATAGAATAAGGCATGACTAAAGTTGTTGAAAAGCCATTTTATGAAGTGTATTTTGATTGCGGATATGGACCAAATAAGGTACTTGTTTGAAAACAAAAAAAAAAACGAGGTTTATCTAATATGATAGCAATAATAATCACAACAACATAATAATAATAATATAATAATAATAAAATAATAATAGTAATGATCTGATCACTATGAGGGTTCAAATCTCCCATGTATTCTGATAAAATATAGGAGATAGAGACGATAGAACCTTATGCCTTAAACGTTTCAATCAAATAATTTGGGTAGTGTATGATCACGTTAAGGCTAATTTCTTCTTATTTTATAAAAAGGTTCAATATTCAACATTTAAAGAATTCTATTCTTCAAACGTCGCGGCTAAAGACAACAAAATAATTAAAGAAAAGACTCTAATATCCGAATCATTTAAAGTTAGTGATGAATTACAGTTTCATGATTCATTATCTGACGATCAAGAACTTGAAGAACTCGAAGACATAAAGGAAGACCAAATTGATGAAAATATTAGTTATATGGAACATAAAAAAATAGTTCAGTATGTCGAAGAACACAATAGAAATTTTTTGGCAAAAGCTATGGAAGTGGATGGCATCTTAGACATGAACCGCGTCGGCGAGTTTTCGAGATCTAATTATAGCAAGTATTTTTCTACGTATGGCGCATTTTCGAACACAGGGAATTGTTTTAATGTGATGTTGGAACATATTGCTGAAATATTAAAGTTACCTCTGGTACACCAACAAACCAAGTTTGGGAGAAGAACATTATGGCAATTAGATCAATATACCAAAAATATGATTATTGAAAAAAATACCATTTCTGGGTATGTCTTCGACAAAATTTATTTGCGATTCCATCCTCACAACAATACCTGGATAGGTAATCATGTTGCATTAGAGCCATTTGAGGATGGTTTCGGCAAATGTATTGCAATACCGTTTGATATGTTTTTCAATTCACATGTACATCCTGAATTTCAAATGCTCGAATGGAATACTAGTCGTCGGCATGGTAGTCGAAAAATCATCCGTGACTGCGAAGAATTCGAACTTACCAGAAAACGAAAACCTAGCTTTGACGCCAGTCAGCTTTTTGAATCATTAGATCCTTTGGTTTTTAATGATTTTGATGCTCACGCGTATTATGATTCTATTAAATATTTATATTGGGCGAGAACCCAGGAACAATTTGACAAAGAGCTTAGATTATTTAAAATAGCTAAAAGTCAAAAGGCTGGATGTTCGAATTATAGTTCAGTTGGACACAGTTGGTGTATACCTAACTTGATGCAAGGTCTATCGGATAAATATGAAGTTGAATTGGAAATCGATCAATTAATTGGTCGTAGCTTAGATTGTTATGATGATTTCTTAAAATCTTTGAATCAAGTCTTACCATTAGAAGATAACACGCAAATCTATTATAGGTGTGATTCTTATAATAGTTGCTTCAACCATTTGGATTTAGTACCGTTCGCCGGAAGCCAGTCAATAAGCGTCCTTTGCTTTGTTAGCTGGGGTGAGATACCATATATCAGATCGATACAATGGTCAGCCGCCAATGTGGACACATATCTGCGTTAATCAATCAAAAATATGTATTCCAAAGTTTAAAATATGCTCAATACATACGGTCCAATATATTAACGTATGAAAACCTTTTTTTTTTTCCTGTTAAATTGCATGAAAAAAAAAAATCAACGAAACAAAAAAAAAAAAAAAAAAAAAAAAATTAAAACTGCAATTGACTTTTCCGATGCTTGTTATTAACAATCTTTGTGCGAACAATAGAGGATTGCTTTATAAAACTCTTCTTGGAAACGAATGTAAAACATTTTGTGTCGCATTGCGAGAAAAAAAAAAAAAAAGATCAGTAGAAATCCCAGTACGTTGAACAATTATGAAATTAAAATCAATATTGTTTATTAGGAAAAGTTATAAATAATGCGCCAAAAAAATATATGACTTCTAAATATGTCTAGCTTACAAATTTTATCGATCTTCAAAATCGAGTTATTTTCTTATTTTTAGATCAATTGCTTTAACGTTGACCTGATACGTATTAACATGCACATTGATACAAATATAAATACGAAGCAGCGAGAACGGGTCAAAATCTTTTATGATGAAAACTTTTCTTTTCGATTAAAAACCAAGATGAAAATTTACGGTTACACGATGATTTGATAATCGGAATCTAAAAAATTCTTACCGCCAAGTGAAAACCTGTCATTGGTGTTTCAAGTTTATTGTTAATAACACTTAATCTATCTGAAATTTTAGCGTTAGGAATTGTATCCGATTACATACGTATTTAAAATCCGATGACAGATACACAAGATGACCAGTTCTTATAACGGAGTTTACTAATTTTCCCCAAGTTCCTATTGGACGCACAAAGAGCTAGTCCCTGATTGGACAAAATATATTACAACTGAATTTCGAAAATTCTGGCCCGACACCATGAAGTCAAAAAAAAAATAAAATATAGTGTGCTAGGGTTAGTATTAAGATCAAATAAGACACAGATTATTACTAAAATTTTGCAAGAATTTTTTTTTTTACAATTTGACGTGAGTTAGCCCAGTGTTGTTAATTGGAATAATTGGACTCATCAATTTGACCAATTGGACATATGTTCAATTTCAATCGGAATATATCCAATTGATGGGTATAACTAGTCCAATTGACAACACCTGAGTTAGCTAGTAGGTTTTTGAGATACAATAGGGTAATATCGCAACTAGCGGTAAATAGCTATATTCTTTTTTTTTATTAGGATACAAACGGTAGATCTGTAAGAGATTTTCATTCTCATGTTACACCAGGTTTTGCAATCTAATTTATAGGTGTAATCTACTTTTTATGACCTAGTCAGAACTGGAAGAAGGTTTCCATATAACGATTGAATGCTGTATACTATGTGAATCATGATTTTTTTTCGATAGCGGTAATACAGTAATTGGCTGAATTATATTTCTGATCTATATAATCTGTTATACAAACCCGATCTGAGCCAATCAAATCGATTTATGTTACCTGGCAAATATTATATTCTATTGATATCTGATCTTTGGGTATCGGTTATCAGAAATGGCAGATTATCGGGTTTGAATTATGGAACAACATGGTGGATCAATTTTTTATCAGTTATAGCAGGTTATCGATTTTGACAGGATCGGTTTTGAGGGGGTGTACTGTATAGGTAATAATTTTATAATAATTATTGAAATGCACAGTCCTAACGTTTATAATTTTGGATAAAATTTCGCAAAGATTAGTGTTACGGTTCTACAAATAAAATTATAGAGCCATTCCTTTTTTATTTAAACAAGAACCAATTTTAACATGATTTTTTTTTTCTTAACAAAAAGGCAGGGACTTAATTTTTTTTTTTTTTATTAAAGTGGTACTATTAAGTAGCTTTGTTTGTAAAGGCGTATTACTAGTTTTTACGAAATTTTATCCAAAACTATCGAACCGTTAGGACTGTTAGGATTGTGCATCAACCATATTTAAATTTGCAATAATTATAATAATTATCAAATTATTACCTATCGATCGCTATCAAAAGAAAATCATTAATGAATTAGATCTGTTAAAAAATATGGTTATATTTATGAGTTCGTGAGAGTGAAAACCTGGAAACCGATTTTTAAGACCCTGATGAATTGCGTCATTACGTAATTCATCATGAATAAAATCAGTATTCTGGTCGTTTCGTCCAAATTGGGCTCATTCGTCGTATTTATCCGTACAAAAATTTATTGTTCTTGCCAACCAACGGATCTTAATAAAAAATAAAAAAGATTCCAAATATAAGTTTTCATAATAAATATATTACACGAATAGGCGCTAATAAAAAAAAGTTCGATATGATCAAGAATACGCTGATTGGGTTGAAATATATAACTCAAATTATAATTCCAAGCAACCAAGATTTTGTTATTAATATTTTTTGAAACTGCATTGAGAGTTATAATCAACGAAATCAAAATAAAAATTTATAAATAATAAAACACACCTATGGTATTTTACATCTATTTACTCAATATCTCGAAAACTAGCAAATTAATTGGTAAGAGATAGTTTAAGTAAAAATGTTCACGCCTCCAAAACCTACCTCTAACCTTAATTTTAATCATAAATCTTAATAATAAAGTAAAATTTCATTTAAAAATGTATACAAAACCTATAAATATCTAAAAAATATAATAAAATCTTATAATAGGTGCAAACCACTATAGATATATTTATAATAAGATCAATTTTATTTGTCACCGCCATAATCATCCCCAGATCAATGGCGCAACCACACCCGCAGCCAATTGTATCGTGCTGTACGAACAATAATCGATATCAAATTAAACCTCAAACCTCTTCATTAACAATGTTATTGATTAAATAGCTTTCAGGTTGTCATCGATTGGCTATTATTATGCTGTGGTTGCGCCATTTATCTGCACTTTGAGGGGGTGTTCCGCAAAATAACGTAACATAGTTAACAATTAGACTTCAGTTGTGTAACCTTATAATAGTTTATGCAAAGTTTATAGCGTAGAGTATACTTTAATTGGACTTTATATTGTTATACTACATGTATGTAAATAGCAGGGATGGCATGTCACAATGTCCAATTGGTTTCAAATTTTTTTTGGACATATGTTCAAAACGAATTGAAACCAATTGGACATTGTGATGTACCATTCCTGATAAATAGTATATAGCTTATTTAGAGTCTAATAGTAGGTATAAATAGAAAATGATAGAATACTGGTTAAGGAGTTTTTTAGAAGTTGGCTAATAGATTTTAGTTTGGTCTTTAAGTTGAAACAAGAGGTATTTTGGAGGGCTATAGTATACCAGGTATACTTGTTAGGATATATTATTTGTACTTTTGATGCCTTGTGTATATAAATAATTAATTGGTTTATTTCTTTTAATGCTTATAACTTTAAGCTAAATTAGCTTAGTGGATATAAAGTTTCTCTTCTGGTTGTAACAAAGGCTGTTCTAATCAATTTTCACTGCCAATAAATAATACTTCTAAATTACAGTATATATAACTAATCATATTAATATGTAATATAAGTATAAAATTTAATTTAGTTTAAATCTGATTAAAATTTTTTTTTTAGTTTTAAAGTAACCTTCAAAACCAAGCTTTATTGATGTTTATTATTAACACAGAGTTTATATTTTAGTATTACAATCTAGGGTTGATCTTTAATATAGGTGAGCATATATAATTATTATACAATTATTATATAAATAACTTAACTATTTTGAACTAATTTAAGTAATTTTATAAATTATTAGAGTCAAGATTAAGGTTAGGGTTTAAATTAACTTAAAATAGTTAGGTTTTATATATTATAATCATGTAATAATTTATATATGCCCACCTATACTAAAGGAGATCCCAATCTAGCCACATATATAATTTTAGGTTGTTTATTTAAATAGTCCTCTTAAAAGTTTTATACTAGTTGTTATATTTGCAATCTACTTGAAGATTATCTATTTAACTTCTCTGATCATATATATTTACCAATTATTTTAAGCCAAGTATCTTTATATTAAAGCATTTTATTAGTTAATGAATAGTTCTTTACTGCTAGCTTCTAAGTTTTATAAAGTTCACCTAAATTTTGATTTTTACTTCACAGTATATCTCAGTATTTTAGTACTTTATTTACAAGTTTTTCTAAGTTTTCAATTCAGTAATCTAAAAGAATTATAACCTTTTTTGATATATAATATCAGATTATATTCTTTCTTTTAGTAACAATAGACCTGGTGGTTTAGTTTATATATTAATCTTTAGCTTTTATTGTTTAGTTTATCTGTTTCATATGGTCTGTTTCTTAAGTCTAGCCTTTATAGTATTATAGTACTGTGGCTTTTTTAATAACAGTACTATAACAATAACACAGCTACAGAGATCCTTCACAGATTTATAGTAGTATTCAACAGGTAAGTATAATTTCTATTTCTTTTAGAAACTATACTTTTTTGTCTGTGGCAGCTCAGACAGACTATAGTTTATAGATAAAATATATGTTTATTAAATATAAATAAGATAGGCTATTCTTAAGTTTCTATTTCTAAAGAATCTTATAATATTACAAGAAAAAATTTAGAGAAGAGAGGAGTTTGGATCTAAGTTAAACAGTAATAGGTCTCAACAGATCTAAGGTAAACAGTAACAGATCTAATGTTAACTTAGGAAAATTTTTAGCTTTTTTATATCTTTAAAGCTAATTGCTAATTATTGTAGCTAAGTGTAGTTTGCTTAGTACTAAGTGCTAATTGTAATTGCTAATTGTTAAGCATTAAGTATTAATCGCTAATCGCTAGTCGCTAAGCATAATTGCTAATTATTATATATGTCTTTTAAATTCTTTTCTAAGTTAAATATAATAATGACTAATAACTAATAAAATAAAATATCAAAATAATAAAATAATATTAAAATAAAATAATAAACTAATAAATTGTTTTATAACATTTCTGTTCCTTTATAAAAATTTACTCTGCAAATTCTTAATTAAAGACTAATACTCTCTATCAGTAAACTTAACAATATAGGTGACAGTGAAGTATCTAGTTTGATACAACAACTTTTTAGATCAAATACTAAAGATTTATTGAAGATAAATAGCTTTTTTCTAAATATCTTAGGTTTTTTGAAAGCTTTGAGAAGCTTGAAGAAATTTATGAATTTGTTGTTATTCATTGGTCTGTTTTTGGATAAGAATTCCTAAATATAGATAATCTTTAATAATTTTTAGTTGCTTAGGTTGAGTATATCCTTTGTCTTTTAATTGTCAAATAATCTTAGTTAATTGGTCTTTCTAAGTTTCACTGATAAAGAGATTAGGGTGAGTGTTCGATTGAAGAGCTAAGGTTTGGGTTAGTTTGTCTTGAACTTTTTAATAGACTTCAGTATCTGGTCTGATTTCTAGTTCAAGAAGAGTAGTGGTTAGAGTTGTATTGATTTCTGAATCTTTGATTAGAAAGATATCCAAGAGAGTATCTATTCTGATAGATTCAGATGAAAGGTTCACTGCAGTATTTATTAGCGTAGTAATGTCACTAGTATCATTAGAACCACTAGGGTTCTACAAGAAAATACTTTGGAAACAAATCTTTAGATTATTTTGAGCAGCGAGATCTTGTCTTCAAATAGTAAGAAAATATTGGAAAGCTTGGATAGTTACAGGTTGCAAGGTGGTGTTGTGTATTGTTAATTGTATATAAATTAAAAAATTTCTGAATAAAAAGTCTATTTATAATTTTTAAAGTTGTATGATTATCTGATTTGTAAAATTTTGTCTTTGTCTCTTCCTTTTCAATAAAATTTCTTCTGGAAATTAAGGAATTTAATAATAATGATTGGTTCCT